TCCTTCATACCAGAAATGTGCATTGCTTCACATACCACCGTGACACCACTATTTTGCATGGTACTTTTCTCATCTTATTCTTTGGTATAAAATGTGTATCCATTAATTTTGTATCCTCTATAAGAGAACACAATCGAACTTGGACCATATGCCAAACATCTCAACCTGTCTGATATTGAAGCGGGATCTGAATGAAACTTTGAATATATATGATCCTTAAACAACTGTATAAAACTTTGATTGTGCTCTCGTACTATCCAATTTTCATTTCTACTTTGATTCTCACCTCGGAGTATAGCCTTGTGCATTTCAACAAACGGCTCAACCTCAGTGTCATTGTGCAGAACATACAAATGCACTTGATCCTGTTCATCCCTTGATACTGTCACAATTTCATTTCCAATTAATTTGTTACCTTCTTTTTTTTTCGAAAAAATGAGATTTGGGGAGTCCAATGGATTGCACATTGGACAAAAAATCAGTACAAAACTCAACCGCTTCTTCAACAACGTATCGCTCAACGATACAACCCTCTGGACGACTTAGGTTTTTCACGTACCCTTTTAATATTTTCATATAACGTTCAACAGGGTACATCCATCTCATATAAGCTGGTCCACACAATTGTGTCTCTTTCACAAGATGAACAACAAGATGTACCATAATGTCAAAAAATGATGGAGGAAAATACATTTCAAGGTCACACAGAGTAATAACGATTTCTTTTTGTAATACTGGTAAGATCTCAGGATCGATCACCTTACTACAAATTGACCTGAAAAAAAACACAATTTAGTTATAGTGCTTCTTACTTTTTCTGGAAAAATAGAATGTATACCTATTGGTAGAAAATGTTCCATTATGACATGGAAATCATGTGTCTTCAGACTCTTTAACTTGAGGTCTTTCATGGACACGAGTCTTCTAATGTCTGAGGAGTAACCTTCTGGAACTTTAACTTCACTCAGAAACTTACACAATATTTTCTTTTCCTTTCTAGATAGAGTATAAGAAACAGGTGGTAGATATGTTCGTCTTCCTTTCTTCACGGGTCCTAATTCAGTTCTTATTCTCATCTCTACCATGTCCTCTCTTGCTTTAAGACCATCCTTAGACTTTCCTTTTATATTGAGTAACGTACCAATAACACTTTCAAATACATTTTTTTCAATATGCATAACATCAAGAAAATGTCTTACGTACAAAGATTTCCAATATGGCAATTCAAAAAAAATTGACCTCTTCTTCCACCCACCTGTGACAACTTTATGTGCAAAAGGCTTGCCAAACTGAATACTCACATCTTTCACCTTTTCACAAATTTGATCACCTGTCAATCCAGGTGGAGCTCTACGTTGTTCGGTATTTCTATTGAACGCTTTTCTCCATCCACGATATTGATGTTTTGAATTTAAGAATCTACGATGACCGAGAAAGACATTCTTTTGACAAAGTTTCAATCGTGTCGTATCGGTTCCATCTTCACAGACAGGACACGCTTTTTCACCTTTAATGCTATACCCGGATAGATTTCCATATGCTGGAAAATCGTTAATTGTGCCAAACAACATCGCCCTCAAATTGAAACTTTCTTTCCTATATCCATCATAAACCTCTACGTTGTTCTCCCACAAAATCTTCAAATCTTCGATTAAAGGTTTCAAGTATACATCTATGTCATTCCCTGGTTGTTTAGGCCCAGAAATTAACATAGATAACATCATGTACTTGCGCTTCATACATAGCCATGGAGGTAGGTTATAAATCATAAGAATCACAGGCCATGTGGAATGTGAGATACTTTGAAGACCATGCGGGTTCATTCCATCCGTAGATAATGCCTAGCGAAGGTTTCTTGTTTCTCCTCCAAAATCAGGATAATCATTATCAATTTTCTTCCACTGTGGTGCATCTGCCGGATGTCGAAACTTTCCATCGATAATTCTTTCATCTGCATGCCAAGTCAAGTGTCTAGCATCGGTTTCACTACGAAACATGCGTCTAAATCTCGGAATAATAGGAAAATACCATAAGACTTTCGCTGGAGATAATTTTTTCTAATATCGAGATAAACCGCACTTTGGGCACTCATTCAACTATGCATATTCGTTTCGAAACAAAATACAATCATTTAGACATGCATGTATCTTATCATAGCTCATGCCAATAGAGCACAACATTTTTTTGGCCTCGTAGGTTCGATTAGGAAGAACATTATCCTCAGGAAGCATATCTCTCAAAAGGGCTAATAACTGTGTGAAACTTTTATCCGACCATCCATTGCGCACCTTTAAGTTGTACAATTTTAATACCGCAGACAATCTTGTGAATTTGGGACAATCTTTATACAACGGTTTCTCCGCATCACTTACCAACCTCTCAAACATTTTGGGACAATCTTGAAGATATTCTTCAAGTGCTTCTGCAATCTCTTCAGCCCGATCATAATCATATGTATCCATGGTATTGTCGTACGAAACATAGGTCGCATTACTTTTCACCCCCGGTTCAACATTCTCGATGCTTTTCTCACCATGAAATATCCAACACGTATAACTTCGATCAATTTCGTGCATTAGTAAATGCAATTTCAATCCATCTGCGTCAACCCGACCCACATAACAACAACCCAAGCAAGGACATTTCATTCTATTCGGGTCTTCAGCGTGTTCAACAGCAAACTTAACGAACTCTAATACCCCATCCTCGTACTCTTTTGACAATCGATCGGCACACATCCATTTTTTATACATGGTTTTAACTATTATCTAAGTTAAAGAGTCTGTGTTGTCAACAAAAATCAAACATGTGACTAGAACAATTCTAGAAATGAGGATTGTTGTGGTCCTATAACATATTCAATCAATGATCGTCAACGTTACAATTTTAGAGACATTAGCTTAGTTGTGAACTCATTCTAAGATTCATGATTTGTGTTATTTTTTACTATTACTGAGTTGAATATTAGATGGGGGATTTACATGATGTGATTCCTTTGTTCCTTGCAGGCATGTCTACATGAGCTAAGCATACATTATGAGAAACAGAAAAGAAACTTTCTATGCTTCCATCACTGAAAATCTTCTATCACAACAGATCTTTCTTAAAGACTAAATTGATCGACGATTTTTAATTTCAGAAATCATTTCAAAACATCGATAATTCTAACACCTAAAGTTTCTTGCGATAGTAAATATAAGCAGCAGTAAGACCAACAGCAACAAGAGCAATTGTGCCGTTCAACATTTCAGGCTCCAAATTCTTAGCAAATGGTAAAGACTTGAAAAACAATGTAGGGAAATTAAGTGTCATGTTGAATGGTAACTCCAACATTTTGTACGAAATTTTGTTAATTTGTTAATCAATAACACCATGCTATATATATACATTTGTACATGAACATTACATAAGATATATTTCTTAAACTAATTAACTTTACTCTTTCTAGCTATTATAGAATGAAGCAAAGAATAATCCCAAACGTCTCAAGAAGGATAACATATTCTGTTAGACTTTTACAATATTTCTTAAATAGAATTATGGATATATTCTAGTTGAAAATAATCATCTACAGATGTAATTGACACTTCAACATGTTAAAAGACATTATACTTTTATTAAATTAACTAACTCTATCAACATGTTAGAAGTTGTACGGTAAATATTAAGAGAAATTGTAGGATACTTTTCATGATAGATTAGTTATAGGAGATTAGAACTTTATTGTTACAAAGAATTGTATGAGATTGAAATTTTATTCTTAAGAGAATTATAGATATATCTTTTGATGATGGATTAGTTATAGGAGATTACAACTTTAAATTGAAGCACCACTTATTATATTACAGGCAGGACACAAGTCATCGATCCTCAGTTTTTTCTACTCCCCGTCCATCTCCTAGTTATGCTTTGTTATGACTCGGTTTGTCTCTGCTATGTACAAACTCAATCCTCCACTATCTTATTCTTCTCCCATCATTGAGAAATCTAAGATTATTAAACCCATTACAAGTATTTTGACTAGTCCATAATATATCTTAGATTTAAAAAAAATCAAAATAAAAGTTTCAAAAGAGAGAATAGAAACCATAATACCTAAGGTTCCTCGGCTTTTACTCGCGGAGATTGTTAATTTTCTATTTCACCGTAAGAAGAAAAACAATAAGAAGATGAAGATTCCAGCAAGAGCAGAAGAAGCAATCAATGCTAGTAGAATTCTCTTATTCAAATTCTGGTGATGCACTATTCTAACATCTTGATTTCCTGTATCATTCATTGTAAAAACAATACATCAAACTCATTAGTCTCGTTAAACCAACTCAGTTAATTGCTGTGCAGAAATATAAGATATATTAAAATTGACATAAAATAAAAATGCTAATGAGTATTTCAAGATTAGAGAGATTAGCTCCCGGATCCAAATTCTCAACCCTAAAATCACTATTTTGATTGAAACTAGAGTGAAGAATATAAATGCCCAAACTATTAGAGACAAACTCAAGCTCAGAGGTCTCTATATAGATAATTACAACAAACATGATAATGGAAGGATATGGCTGGAGTGGGATGAAAATAGAGTTGATGTTAAACATGTAAAAAGTACTAACCAACTAATATATTGTGGTGTTTATGATTAACAGGGTAACTTCCTAAATTGTATGTTTGTTGTATATGCATGTAACCAGCTAGAACAAAGGAAAATTTTGTGGAAGGACATATTGGAAGTGCACTGCTAGAACCAGGGGCCTTGGTTCTTAATTAGGAACTTCAACAATGTGTTGAAAACTCAAGACAAAATTGGAGGGAAACCAGTAACTGAACATAAATATGATGACTTGACCAACATGATGATGCTCATACGGTTGTATGAAATGGATAGATTAGGAGATTACTACACATGGTCAAACAAGAAAAGTGAGAGGGATATCTACTCTAGAACAAATAGAGTCGTGTCCAATGTTGCTTGGCTGCAAAGTAACATGGAGAAAACTTTAAATATCATGTCTCCTAGTGCGTCAGACGGTTCTCTACTATGTTGGAATTGCTATGAGAAGACCTATAGGAAGAAAGCTATCTTCAAGTTCCATATTACTCATAGCACCAAAAATTGTTTCATTCTCGTAGTTCCATATGCCATAGACAGTCTTAACAATAGCCAGCTTGAGCAAGGAGGCTTTCTACCCTTTAACCTTCCCATGCGCAATAGTTCAGCGAAGCTCAATATCCCAACTTTTTGGAACATGGGACTGATGAATCTAGGCCAGAATATTACTCCAGATATGATTAAGCTTATGACAATCAAACAACAAATTCATAATAGATTCCTCTTTGCTGCAGAAGGCACAATCCTTATTAGCAACCATCCCAAATTTGAACAATCTACATCTAGTAGCTAGCCTTTGATGACATGCAAGCCAAAAAAAACCTTCGATCTGGGTCTAGCAGAATTATTTTTAAGCAGCCTATACCAAGTCACATCAGGGAAATTGCATAAGGTGAGATAAACCTCTTTCATTCTGAATTTCTATTTCAGGTTCATATCTGCCCAAACAGTTGGATTATTAACAATAAAATCCTTCTGCTCTAAGATTTTCCTCATGATCCAAGTGCTATTTGTTTTGGATTTCACCTCTTCAATGCTTTGGTCTTTGATGTAGTAATAATTAATCCACTTAACCCACAAGCTGTCACTTTTACTAGAAATATTCCAGAGGAGCTTCAGGAGAGAACATTTGTTCCATACATCTAAGTTGATAAGGCATAGACCACCATTCTTAATAGGTTTACAGACATTTGGCCAAGAGATAGGACTTTCCTAATAATTGTATCCCTCCCAGTCCAAAGAAAGGATCTGCACAAGCAATCAATTTTCCTTATGACACTCTTAGGCAATGGAAAGATCATTAGCCAGTAATTAGCCATTGAAAAGGAAATACTCTTAATCAACTGGACTCTTCCAGCATAGCTCAAGAGCTTAGAAGACCAGTGAGATATCATACTAGTAATTTTCTTAATCAAATGCAAATGATGACTAACTTTCAACTTCTTACTAGAGAGGGGGACTCCTAGATACTTGAAGGGAAGACCACCTTCTTTGAACCCATAATGGATAAGGATATCATGCTTCACATTAGTCTCAACATTACCAAAATACATTTTGATTTTAGAGGGATTTACTTTCATACCAGTAAAGTTGGCAAAAGAGTAGAAAGTGTTCAGAATAAGTTCCATAGAGTAAGAGTCACCTCTAGAAAACGTAGGACATCATCAGCAAACATCAAATTAGTAAGCTCGATCCTCTCACACTTAGAGTGGTGGTTAAAGTTGGGGTTAAGGTGCATTTTGTGCAAGCACCTATGAAGGTATCCCATCACTATAGCAAAGAGATAATGGGAAATAAGGTCCCCTTGTCTAATGCCACGGTTAGCCGGCATAAAGGGAGAAAGGGAACCATTGAGACTGAATCTGTAGGAAACAAAGGAGACTACAATTATTATCCAGCAAATGAACTTAGAGGCCATACCAATTTCCTGCATGATATTTTATAAAGCTTTCCAAGAGATCATGTCATAAGCCTTCTGCATGTCTAACTGCACCATACATCTAGGAGGGCCACTATTCCTGTTGTACCCTTTAATCAATTCAAACACTAAAATAATGTGACTATGGGTTTGCTTCCCTGGGATAAAAGCAGCCTGATTTGGGCTAACAATTTTACAAATAACATGCCCTAATCTAGCAGTCAAAATTCTGGATATAATCTTGCAAACAATAGTGCAGACATAAATTGGCCCATAATCCCTTATACTCCTAGAAGATTTACTTTTAGGGATGAGAGAAACAACAATGCAATTGAAAGCTTTGTACAGGTACCCTTTGTCAAAAAATTCATGGACTGCAGCAGTCAGATCTCCTTTTATAATATCCGAGTAGTGCTTAAAAAGCCTGGAATTAAAACCATCAAGTCCTGGAGCAGACAGGTCATGAATGCCTTTTAGGGCAGAAAAGATTTCTTCCTCCTTAATAGGACTGATCAAACCATCACTCTACACCCTACTAAGCTGGGGGCCCAACTTCATAACACTCATATCTATGCTCCTCAAGTTCTCATATTTCCTCCCCATCAAGTTACCATAGAAACCTAAGACTTCATTCTCAATATCTGATTGAGTAATTGCCATAGTACCTCTTTAAGTAACATGTTCAGGTTTCCAGACTTTTTCTTAGCTTTGACAAATGCATGAAAAAATGAAGAATTACCATCACCATCTTTAAGCCAACTAATATTTGCCCTCTGTCTCAGAATAGCTATCTCAGTATCATTCCATCTAATCAGCTCCTCTGTGCAATTTTTAACACCCTCAATCAAATGTCTGTTGAATATGTCTCTAGAAAGATTAATTTGAGCTTTTTCAAGATTTTCTCTGGCCTGGGCTATCTTCTTCTTGGATAACATCAGAGATTTTTGCATTTTGTAAATCAATAGTGTAATCGATCTGTAGGGTTATGAAGAGGTTTTGAGCAATAGATAAAGGGAACCTATGAGAGGTAGATCTATGTATGTGCTATGGAAGAAATTGCAAAGACTACAACCCATTTTGAAAAACCTGGTAAACCCCTGTCAAACTTGAACAACAAAGTTGTAAAGGCTAGAAAATAACCATTACAGGCCCAGAAGGAACTCATTAATGATAGAATGAACATCCACAAAATTGAGAATGTAAAAAAGTTGAATGAGGAGCTTATAAAATGGCATGAGCTAAAAGAACATGTTTTGATTCAAAGGGCAAAAATTGATTGGCTAAAGTTTGGAGATGGGAAGAATTCTTACTTCCATGCATCAATAAAAGCAAAACAAAAGTATAAAAGCATGAGAATGCTTTGGACGACAAAACAGGGGCTGGAAGGCAGAGGGATACAAAACCTAAAAATAAATTCTTGGTGAAATGGAAAACCCTCAACCATGGACACATTGTTATTTAGAATCTTAGATTACAATTATCATACCACAATAACATTCCAAAATCCAAACGGAAAAATTAGAAATTGGAGAACAACAATGAAGATTTCAAAAAAATCAATTAAACTCTAAGAGAAACCTAAATAATTGCAATAGAAGGAGAAAACTGAACGAATCTAGAGAAAGAGTAAACTAATCACTGTAACTACAACTATCAATCCAAAATTTATGTGTAAATTGCTAGAATCACTTTCATAATTAAAAGGATGAAGAAAGAAATGAAGAAGACCAGACTTTGTGCTTGCATTGAGTTAACCATAGAAAAAAATATAGAAGGATGAAGAAATTTTACCTTATAGTGAAACTGGTTTTGTGAAACTTCTTCTTCACGATGAGATGGTGGTAACGAATCCGAAGCGAGTTGGAGAAGAAGATGAACCACGTGCCTTGTATAATCGGAGAATCCGAAGCTTGCAACGATACAACGAATCAGGAAGCGAGTTGGAGAAGAAGATGAACCATAGTTGGACGGTGAGGAGGGAGGAGACGAGTTAGACGAAGATGAACAGTTGCGTGTATAAAGTGGGGTTTTGTATAAAGTGGGGTTTCTGATAACCAATTTAGGGATTTAGAAATTATTTAATTACCTTAGACATCGCTTTCAAGAAGCGCTGCTAAAGGCATAACACTAAAGCGCTGTTAAAGCCTTAAAGCGCTGCTAAAGGTAATACCTTTAGCAACGCTTCTTGAAAGCGCTGTCTAAGGTATACCCTTTATCACACCTTTAGCAGCGCTTTTAGTAAGCGCTGTCTAAGGTATACCCTTTAGCAGCGCTTATTCTTTTTTTTTTTTTTATTTATTGAAAACCTATAGCAGCGCTTAGGGAAAGGAAGCGCTGGCTATGGTAGAGCCTTTAGCAGCGCTTTTAGTAAGCGTTGTCTAAGGTATACCCTTTAGCAGCGCTTATTCTTATTTTTTTTTTTTTTTTTTTATTGAAAACCTATAGCAGCGCTTAGGGAAAGGAAGCGCTGTCTATGGTAAGGCCTTTAGCAGCGCTTTTAGTAAGCGATGTCTAAGGTATACCTTTAGCAGCGCTTACTCTAATTTTTTTAAAAAAATTTCTTCTGAAAACCTATAGCAGCGCTTATGGCATAAGCGTTGTCTATGTGGCGCTGTCTAAATTCAATTTTGGCATAGTGTTTGACTGGATTGGCATCAGAAAAATCTTTAGGAATCGATTTACCTGGTTTTGTCTCTTTTGACTGGGTTGGCCTCAGAAAAATCTTTAGGAATCGATTTAACTGGTTTTGTCTCTTTTGACTGAATTGGCCTCAGAAAAATCTTTAGGAATCGATTTAACTGGTCTTGTCTATTTTGACTGAATTGGCCTCAGAAAAATCTTTAGGAATCGATTTAACTGGTTTTGTCTCTTTTGACTGAATTGGCCTCTGAAAAATCTTTAGGAATCGATTTAACTGGTTTTGTCTCTTTTGACTGAATTGGCCTCAGAAAAATCTTTAGGAATCGATTTAACTGGTCTTGTCTCTTTTGACGGGTTGGCCTCAGAAAAATCTTTATGAATCGATTTAACTGATTTTGTCTCCATTGACGGGTTGGCCTCCGAAAAATCTTTAGGAATCGATTTAACTAATTTTGTCTCCATTGACTGAATTGGCCTCAGAAAAATCTTTAGGAATCGATTTAACTGATTTTGTCTCCATTGACTGAATTGGCTTCAGAAAAATCTTTAGGAATCGATTTAACTGGTCTTGTCTCCATTGACGGGTGGCCTCAGAAAAATCTTTAGGAATCGATTTAACTGGTCTTGTCTCCATTGACGGGTGGCCTCAGAAAAATCTTTAGGAATGGATTTAACTGATTTTGTCTCCTTTGACATAGTTGAGAATTTAACTTCATCTTTCCTGAAAGGTAAAGGTCAGTCATATGCAATGCATGATATGGATCAAGCAATGATGTTCTCAACATAAATGAGATTGTATTATATGATGCGTTTATGCATGTATCATGATGTATGGAAATGTGATGTTTTAGCTGGGGAAAATAAATCCCGGATAGCTGCTGGAGAGTAGAGTTGAATTCTTTGTTTCCACTGAGGATGATGAACGAAGATGATTGTGAGAATAATCCTGTAGGAGAAGAGAATTCTGTTGGGGAATAAACTGATGAGGAGATTACTCCGAGGGGAATTACTCTGTGGGGAAGAGGTGCTCTGCTGAGGATTTTAACGATAAACTCTGTTGGGGATTCCGCTGATAAACTCCGCTGGGGATGGATTACTGTTGCTGGTGATATTGAATCTGTTGAGGATTGAATTCCTGCTTGGGGAAAGAAAGAACTTCGCTGGGGATGATCTTTCAGTTGCAACTTGCTGGGGATAACCCTGTTAGACTTTTGTGGGGATAAACCTCTGAGTTCTGCTGGGAATGGTCCTCTGAACTTGGCTGGGGATATTTATTGTACTCCGCTGGGTATAAACTTCCAGAGTCTACTGGGGATGATGATTCAACTCTGTTGGAGAATCTTTTTTCAGACCGTGCTGGGGAATGTTCTTATACTCCGTTTAAGACTGTCGGGGAACCTCTTACTTACTGGGGAATATTCCTATACTCCGCTGGGGAATATTAAAACCTTTTGGGGATACCAAGCCTTTTTAGCGTTGATGGTAGATTAACTCTGCTTGGGGAGAGTATCGCTAATTCGTTCACGGTTGCAAGTCTCAGTTGAGAGAGTTACCATTACTGCCTTACTCTGCGGGGAGTGAAGGTATTTTAACCATATTCTTCAACTGAATATACCTTGGTACCTGGTGGATAGAGCAACTGTATAGCTTGGACAATTCTTATTGCCCATGTTTCTGCGGGAGAATGTGTCTGCGGAGGCCCTATGGATCGAGTATTATCCCCACCTATGAGGTGCTTGGTATCTTTCGGTCAAAATGACAAGTCTTCTTCTGGTAGGCCAGTGATGAGATGACGAGACATAGACGTACGCTTTGATCCCTAATTTTTGCCTGGACCGCCCTTCCGGGTTTTCAGTCCACCGGGATACCCTTTTTTGCCCAAGCCGCCTTTTCAGGTTTTCGACTTGCCGGGTGTACACTTTTTCATTCTCATCCCTAATTTTTGCCCGAACCCTTTTGGTTCGCCGGGAAGCCCTTATTTTTGCCTAGGCCAGTCAACCTAGCGGGTCTTTATTTATGCGCAGTATTTTCTGACTATGTCCACGCTCTCAGGATGTAGGGAGGTGTCACTATCGGTAGTGTTGTGTTGCCATACTACCAGAAAATCTTCGTTTGATCATGCAAGATTCGTTGCTGGAATTCATGTCCAATGCCCCAATTGATTCAGATGGAGATTTGCCCCTGGCTATTTGGCATTTTGAGAGATTCCTTGAATCTTGACTTAACTGCCCCAGATGATGGACAATGCTCATGCCGTGCCCCTTGGTTGGAGGTGTTTTTTCCACTTGAGGTGACCCTTTTTATTGAAAAGTTTTTGTTCACTAGATATTCATCGTGCGAATTTCTCTTCTGTTGAACAAATAGTCATATGCAAACAATATTATTTTAAGAATGCAAATCTTATGTCTGTTTTGAAATTTTTGAAAATGCATTTTTCTAGTAAAACAGGCAATTTTTTGTAAAATGTGATGTCAACTCAGGATTTACAGCAAGCCCTACAGGAGTCAGGATACCTTTTGTAACAGTATGCTTTCGAACTAACCCATGCCTCAGCTAGGACTCTTAAGGGTTATAACGTGGTCTGGTTCACGGTTCAAGAAACAAAGGATAAAGGCTCAAAATTTATTTGTACCCACCCGCTCTTCGTGATGTTCTTCGATCCTAAACTCAGCTAATCGTGCATTAGATCTTGTTTGAGTCTTTGCTCTGATATACCAATGATGGTTCGGACACTGACAGTTTATTTTGAACAGGCAATCATTTTTGTTGAGAGTTGTAGGATCTCTTTCCTTTTGATTTTTATTATCCCTGTCTTTTGCCTGAACTGTTTCTTTTTGTGATTACAGTCAGCAGGATGCCCCAGTTTTTCTTAAGTCTCCTTCACAGGTTTTGACTTATTGGGCTTTTATTTTTGAGAGATAATGACTGCTTGTCCTTACGATTATACGGAACCAACACCGTCTTCGTGTTTCGGGAGGACTTCTTTGATGCCATTCATTGTGCACCTGGATCAACTGAGAAAACTACTCTGCCTCGGGTTATAATTAAGGGTTTTAATTTGTGAAAAAGAAAAACTCCAACTTCTTTGGCTCAAAGGGGTTGACTAGGGATTATCTTCCTTATAACTCCACTATTTAGGATTTGAAACAATGCTTGTACCTCGTCAGTGGGGTCTGTTCAAAAGCATACTGTAGAGATTTTGATATCATTTTCGTCATCCTCCCTCAAAAGGCTTAGAATTTTTTAATCGAGAGTTGAACATCACAAAAATGAAAGCAATTTGAATATAGTGAATATGAATGGACTGATT